CCCCCCCCCCCCCCCCCCCCCCCAGCGGTCGAGAACGCCCTCGATCGTGTCTCCCGCATTTCCCGCAACTCATCCCTCACACCCTCTCCCCGCAATATTAACCAAAACAGAATCCCCTCGTCCTCACATACCAGCCGATCAACCTCCGGATCCAATGCATCATCCTCCGACACTTCCGCCATCTGCAATCCGACCTCACCACCAAAGACACTTTTCCCTCCCTCCCTTATCTGCTTTCAGGAGGGACCACTCTCTCTGTGACTCCCTTGTCCGCTCCACACTCCCCTCCAGCCCCACCATACCCAGCACTTATCCCTGCAACCGCAGGAAATGCTACGCCTACCCCTACACCTCCCCCCTCACCTCCATCCCAGGCCCCAAGAAGACTTTCCACATCAAGCAGATGTTCACCTGCACATCTGCTAATGTGGTATACTGCGTCCGCTGTTCCCGTTGTGGCCTCCTGTACATCGGGGAAACCAAGCGGAGGCTTAGGGACCGCTTTGCAGAACACCTACACTCGGTTCGCACGAAACAACTGCACCTCCCAGTCGCGAACTTTTTCAACTGCCCCTCCCATTCCTCAGACGACATGTCCATCCTGGGCCTCCAGCAGTTCCACAACGATGCTACCCGAAGATTGCAGGAACAGCAACTCATATTCCGCTTGGGAACCCTACAGCCCAATGGTATCAATGTGGACTTCACAAGCTTCAAAATCTCCCCTCCCCCTACTGCATCCCAAAACCAGCCCAGCTCGTCCCCGCCTCCCTAACCTGTCCTTCCTCCCACCTATCCCTCCTCCCACCTCAAGCCCCACCCCCATCTCCTACCTACTAACCTCATCCCGCCCCCTTGACCTCCCCACCTACACTCACCTTTACTGGCTCCATCCCCGCCTCTTTGACCTGTCTGTTTCCTCTCCACCAATCTTCTCCTCTATCCATCATCTATACGCCTCCTCCTCTCTCCCTATTTATTTCAGAACCCCCTTCCCCTCGCCCATTTCTGATGAAGGGTCTAGGCCCGAAACGTCAGCCCTCCTGCTCCTCTGATGCTGCTTGGTCTGCTTTGTTCATCCAGCTCTACACCTTGTTATCATGTTTAATCAACTTTATTGACTTTCTTTGATGAAATAATATGTTGTGGATAAAGGTGAACCAATGGACTTAGACTTGCAGAAGACGTTTGATTAGGTCCCACACCAAAAGTTATTGAGGAAAACAGAAGCAGATGGTGTTATGGGTAACATTGGTATGAATGGAAGCTTGACCAGCCAACAGGAAGCGGAGAGTAGGCATAAATGGCTCATTTTCTGGTTGTCAAGATGTAAGGATTGGTGTGTCAGAGGGGTCAGTGCTGGGGACTCAACTTTTTACAATTTGTAGAAAGGACTTGGATGAAGAGGCCAAAGATATATTTGCTAAATTTGCTAATGGTATTAAAGTAGGTGGGAAAGTAAGTTGTGGAAATGACTAGCTATTAAAGAATATGGTTAGGTTAAGTGAGTAGTCAGAGATCTAGCAAATGGATATAACACTGGAAACATAATATTGTCTATTTTGGCAGCAAAGATAGTAATGCATATTATCTAAAATTGTGAGAGATTGCAGAGGCATCTTATTGTCCTAATGCATGACTTTCAAAAGGTTAGCATGCAGGTACAGTAAACAATTAGGAAAGTTAATAGAATGTTATCACTCATTGCAAGGGGAATTCAGTACAAAAGTTAGTGATATTATGCTTCAGTTATCTGGAGTACTGTGTATGGTATTGGTTGTCTTATTTAAGGAAGAATGCAAATGCATTGGAAACAGTCCAGTCACTTAACTAAAACATGGAATGGGCGGGTTGTCTGATGAGGAAAGATTGGACAGGCTAGGCTTGTATTTACTGGAGTTTTAGAAGAGCAACAGTGGATTTGATTGAAACATGCAAGATCCTGAGAGGTCTTAAAGGGGCCATGTCGGAAGGATGCTTCCTATTGTAGAAGAATATAGGAGTAGGGATCCCTATTTCAAAATAAGGCGTGCCCAAGACGAGTGATTTTTTTTGTTTTTTTTTGTTTTGTCTGTCTCACAGGACTTTGAGCCTTGAAATTCTTGTCTTCAAAAGATGGTGGAAACAAAATACTTGCTTATTTTTAGGACGGAATTGTGTAGATTCTTGATTAGACAAAGGCTAAAAGCTTATTAGGTGTCTGCAAAAATGTGGAGTTACCACATTTGGGAATGAATCAGCCATAATCTTACTGAATGGTGGAGCAGGCTCAAGGGGCTGAATGGCCTACTCCTGATTCTAATTTGTATGTTAAATCCTCTGGTTTATTTTTCCGTTGGTGCTGTAAAGTGTTCTGTATGTTTTAGTTAGTGCAAAATTGTGAGAATGCAGTCTATCACTCATAGTATTGTTTTGTTTGTTTAGTAGGCTTGATAAGAAAAATTGCGAAACTCAATGGCTGAACTTTGTAAACTTAATAACTGCACTGGTTCATTTTATTTGCATTGACATCACACAAATATATCATTAATTTGTGCTTTATAATTGGTGATGCAAATAATAAGAGCTGTAAATGTCAACATAGTTCACTACATTGCATGAGAAATTTTGGTTATACAAGCAGAGTTTATGAAAATGTTCTTTTCAAACCTGAATGTGAAATTCTGTGCAGCTGACCTTTTTTGGATTTAAAAAAAAATCTGTTGACATTAGCAGAAGGTGTTCCTCTTGTTGCGTAGATTGGTTTGAAATTAGCCACGAAAAAAATACATTGAGTGGGTATCAACATTGCCTACTCACAACTGAAGGTGGAATGACTCGGCTGTGACAACAACTTTTACGTTTAGCTGCAACATTATTCAAAAGGAAGTGTAACCTCATTTATGGTTTGACCTTAACAGGCTCTGCGACTTTGTTGTGAGGCATAGTTGAAAATTGTATGAGTTTGGTGCTATTATATGTCAGTCTTGAGGAGGTGGTGATCATTATTCAGTTGTGTAGCTTAGTGTTGTCTGATATTAGCCACTTATTTAGCTATATTATAATGTATGTATTCATATTGTTATAGTTATATAAATGTAGTAAATATTGGTATGTTGCAATGTATGTATTCAGATTAAACTCACAAAGAAAGACTATATTGTTTTTGTTCTTAGTGGCTTGTAAATGCTTGACACTTTGCAAATGGGTTGTTGGCCTTCCAAAATAGCTTGTCATTGAACAGAATGTTATCTTTTGTTTCACTGACGAAACTATATTTATTTTGCAATATTGATTCAAATCAGAGTTAAACTGGATGAAATTAATTAATTGCATTACTCTTTTAAACAAAAATTGAGGTAGGAGTACTTACTATCCTTGTACATTGAAACCTTTTAATGAAATCCAACTGTTCCACCTCCCACTCACACCACCAACAACCACCGCACCACCCCCCCCCCCCCCCCCCCCGCCACCACCCCCACCACAACAGTTTCAGCTGCTGACCATTCTCACTTTCCTACAGCAAGTAGTACTCTAGGCATGATAGACCAGCGTATTCTTAGATTCAGCATGTATGGTGCCAGAGGAGGCACCTTTGTATGCAGAAAATATACCAATCTTAGCCTGTTGCAATTAATGCTGCCTGCAATGAAGACAGATCTCTTAACAAGCAGCAAAGAGGTCTTATTTTTATGTGAATAGAAGAACATTGAAATGCAGTTCAGATCCTATATAAGAAATAGCTGTAAAGACATGTCATATCATGCTGTCATAGAGTATTAGAACACCAATAAATGTAAAGCCACGTCATAACCGGACCATGGAATAATGTGTTAGAATATCAACGTGCCAACCTTCCACTATTTTCTAAAAATTCTTCTGTTTCCTGATCTGATATATTTTAGTGCTATTTGTTTTATTTCAGTTACACAGGAGCAGTTGCTTCAGATAGAAGACATTGACCTGAATGTGGTGAGATTGTGTTTCCAGGTGTTTCTTCCTGATGAACATGGCAGCTTCTCAAGAGCTCTTCCGCCGGTTGTCTCAAATCCGATATATGATAACAGTGAGTTTCAAAAACTATATTGCTGATCACCTTTCCTAGTGCATTGACTGTATCATAAATATTGGCAGTAGATGGTATACACTGCTGCCACTGTGTCTATGGTGGAGGCAGTGAATTTTAAAAGTGCTAGATAGGGTGTCAATCAAATGGAATACGATAACCTAGATGATGTAAAGCTTCTTGAGTAGTGTTAGCGGCAAGTGGAGAATATTTCACCTCAATCCTGACTTCCGCCTTGTAGATGGTGGACAAGTTTTGAGGTGTCAGTCGGTGAGTTGCTTGTCATAGAATTCCCATCCTCTGACATGCTTTTGCAGCAACAGATTTCTATATAACTTCTTCGGTTTCTGACCAGTTGTGACTCCCAGAATATTGACAGTGCAGGATTGAGCAACGGTAATGCCATTGAATGTTGAGGGATGATGGTTGAATTCTGTCTTGTAGAAGATGGTCATTGCCTAGAACTTGTGTGGTGCAAATGTTACTTACCATTTACCAGCCTAAACCTGAGTCTTGTCCTGGTCTTGCTGCATTCAGACATGGATTCTTTGATATCTGAAAAATCACTAATGTTGCTGAACATATCCACTTTTGGGAGACTTTCAAGAGTGTGATGACAAGAGTTCAGAGGCATATTGTTCCTGTTAGAGTGAAGAGTAAGGCTGGTAAGATTAAGGAACAATGGATGAATAAAGATATTGAGGTTCTCGTCAAGAATAAAAGGGTTTTTTTTAAGATACAGACAGCTTGCTTCAATTGAATCTCTCTTAATCAATATAAAGAATGTAGGGGCATTCTTAAGAGAGAAATCAGGAAGGCAAAGAGGGGAAATGAGATAGCATTGGCAGATAAGGTCAAGGGTAATCCAAAGAGATTCTACAAATACATTAAGAGCAAGAGGATGACTAGAGAGAGGGTAGGGCCTCTTAAAGCTCAAGGAGGTCATCTTTGTGTTGAAACCCCGGAGATAGGAGAGAAACTAAATGAATATTTTGCATCAGATTTTACTATGGAGAACGAAATGGAGTCTAGAGAATGCAGAGAAATAAACTTTGAAGTTTTAAAAACAGTTCACATTTTAGAAGAGGAAGTTCAGGAAGTCTTAGAGAATATCAAGGTGGATAAATCTCCAGGACCTGATCTAATGTATCCCAGAATGTTGTGGGAAGTAAGAGAGGAAATTACGAGACCCCTTGCAGAAATACTTGCATCATCTATAACTATGGATGAGGTGCCTAATGACTGGAGGGTGGCTAATGTTGTACCTTTTTGTTTCAGAAAGGTTGTAAGGAGAAACTGGGGAACTGTAGACCTGTGAATCTGACTTCGTATGTAGATAAATTGTTGGAGGTAATTATAAAAGATAGGATTTATGGACATTCAGAGAGGCAAAGATTGATTCAGGATAGTCAGCATGGTTTTGTGCAAGGGAAAATCATGTCTCACAAACTTGACTGAGTGTTTTCAGGAAGATGCCAAAAAGGTCGATGATAGTAAAGCAGTAGACATTGTTTATTTGGATTTTAGTAAAGCCTTTGCCAAGATTCTGCATGGTAGACTAATTAGTTAAGTTAGGTCACGTGGGATTCAAGGTGAGCTTGCTAATTGGGTACATAATTGGCTTAACAGCAGGAGACAGAGACAAATGGTGGTGGGTTGCTTTTCAGGCTGGAGGCCTGTGACCTGCGGTGTTCCACAGGGATCGGTTCTGTATCCTGTTTTGTTTGTCATTTATATAAATGATTTGGATGAGAATCTAGAAGGCATGGTTAGTATGTTTGTGGATGACACCAAGATTGGTGGTATTGTGAACAGTGAAGAAAATTTTCTAAGATTACAAAGGGATCTTGATCAAATGGGTCAATGGGCTGAAATTTGGCAGACGGGTTCAATTTGGAAAAATGCAAGGTATTGCAGTTTGGTATAACAGAGAAGAGCAAGGCTTATACATTTAATGGTAGGGCCTTGGGTAGTGTTGTAGAACTGACGGACCTAGGGGTGCAGGTACATAATTCTTTAAAGGTTGCATCACATGTAGGCAGAATGGTTAAAAAGGCGCTTGGCATACTTGCCTTCATTGCTCGGTCATTTGGGTAAAGGAGTTGGGACGTTATTTTGAAGTTGTACAGGACATTGGTGAGGCCTCCTCTGGAATACTGTGTCTAGTTCTTCCAGTTATAGGAAGGATATCATTAAGCTGGAGAGGGTTCAGAAGAGATTTACTAGGATGTTGCCAGGTATGAAAGGTTTGAATTAGAAGGAACAGTTGGATAAGCTGGAACTTTTTTCACTGGAATGTAGGAGGTTGAGAGGTAACCTGATAGAAGTTTATACAATTGTAAGAGGTATAGAAAGAGTTGATGTTTGTGAGTTTTCCCTAAGGTGGGGAATTTCAAGACTAGGGGGCACTTTTTTAAGGTGAGAGGAGAATGATTTAAGAAAGATATGAGACATTTTTTTTTAGATGGAGGGTGGTTCGCCAGTGGAATGAACCTCCTGATGAAGTAGTGGATGTGGGTACCATTACAATGTTTAAAAGACATTTGGATGGAATAATGAATAGGAAACGTTTGGAGGGATATGGGCTAGGAGCATGCAGGTGGGACTAGTTTAGTTTATGTTCAGCGCAGACTGATTGGACTGAAGTGTCTGCTTCCATGCTGTATTACCCTATGAAGCTGCTGAAGATGGTTGGGTGTCATGAGTCAAATGAGTCACCCTTATTTCCCCTTTTGAGTTCAGCTGTTTTTATTTTCCATGTTTGGACCAAGAGCAATGGGTGAGGTGTTAAGTGGGCCTGATGGAACCCAAACTAATGGCCAGTGAGTAAGTTATTGTTGAGTAAGTGCAGCTTGATAGCACTGTTGATGACATCTTGCATGACTGTTGAGAATACGGACAGGAACTGAAGTTGTCCTCTTTTTTTGGACATGATGGGTCAACTGGCCTCATGTGGAATTAAGACTTTATGAAGCCAAAAAGCATGAAACCAAAAATGGGACTCTGAGTACTGTATTAAAACTGAAGGAGGCACTAGTCCGTGATATGTGGGGTGTATAGAATGGGAAAAGACTACATGATTTCCAGTTGATCTTTCAATAAACAAAGATAGGACTAATTGAGTTGTGAGTATGTTGAAAATGACACATCTAATAAGACAAGAAAAATTTCTTTCGGCAAAAATACTTTAAATTCTATAGTCTAAAGGTATAATTCACAGTAGGAGAAAGCAGGGATCTCCATATATCCACAATTTGTAGCCACAATCCTCCAAGAACTCTGAGCCATACAGACTAGAAAACACTCCAGGTTTATTTGCTATTCTACTCAAAACTTCAGCTGGGTTGCCTAACAGGTGCTACAAGCAGACTGAATTAGAGAATGAAAATTAATCTTTTTTTTATTATGTAGTGACACTGTATCAGCCTGGTTGCCTTGTCCAAAAGCATTTTTGTGTAAAGTAAATGCAAATTGAGGTTAGATGTCAATGCTGTCTGCATTTCTGAATGTCGATGGCCACACATGAATAATGGCTGTTTAGATAAATTAATAGAGAGCACCGGTGAACCCCATTTCACTAAAGGAGTCAGTGCCTTTCAGAGCTGAGCTAACAGGACTTAACTGAAAATATGTACTATCTAGTGAGTGATGTTGCATTTTATTTGGAAGGAAAGGAAGAAAGAAAGAAAACAAATAGTACAGATGTAGTAAGATGAGAGCTAAGAATTCTGTGAAGTTTTGTTTAGAGGAATCAGTATTTTCAATGCATTTTGGATTTGCAGGGGCACCAAACACAGCAGAGCTGAAGATTTGTCGTGTAAACAAGAACACAGGAACAGTTAAGGGAGGAGATGAAATCTTTCTACTGTGTGACAAGGTTCAAAAAGGTAATCCGTCGTTTTCAGGTTTTTAAATTGTGTTGCTTTAATTTATTATCAAGATGAAGAAAACTTTGAATTTATTCAGTCATCTAAAAGGACTGGTGACTATATTTAACATCCTTCCTTCTCCAGTTGCCCTGAGTTGTTGATATATCTTTTCATTTCTCTTGGGAGGTTAAATGGTCCATAATCTTGATGCATCAGAAATATTGACTGGGATCAGATTTTTTTTTTACTGTATGGTTATTTCATATGTTTGTGGAAAGTTGAAATGGTACTTTTGCTTGTTGTATCACATGATTTCAGTGCAACTTGATGGAGAATATTGGTATTACTAAATGGACTTCCATCATTTCTGGTATGCAGTGCTACTAGGATCCAGAGTGAATTTCGAGGATTGTTCCATTAAGTTTACACAACTCTAGACCATGAATATCTGAAATTGTATTAACTAAGAATAAAATGTGGATGTTGATGTGTTATGTTTCATGTCTACATCACCTCAGTGCTGGCATTTAGATACCTGTGAGCATTAATGCACACCGATTTTAATTCTAGCATCACACCTTTTCCTATATTTCTGTCACCGGGATACTTGAGAACATAAATACAGACGAATCCTTCCAGTGATATTCGGATTGAGGCTGTCTGTAGATTTGAAAGGCTAAAGAAATATGCAATTAAACCTGTAGACTGTCAAGAGATTGAAGTTACCAGGAAAGATTTTGGAAAGAAAGTTTCTAAACAACCTAATTGAATTTGTTAACATCTGATCAGGAATGTTAAACATTATGGTAAATTGTTTGAATACCAAAGGGTTAGAGAAATGTTAGGGGACTTTTATTTTAAATTTGGAGTAATAAAGTTTTGGAAATAGTTAACATAGGAAGGTCAGTGAAAAGGATAATGTACATGAATCTGAGATAATGGCCTAGATTTTGCATTTGTAATCACAGTGAAAACTATTGCTGTTGTTACTCTGTGAAATTGACAGTTAAGTGTGAAATGTGCTTGAAGGTATATCCCTTCTGCATAGTTTTCATTGATGCAATCAGTGTAAAATCAGCCATTTGGTATGAACTTTAACTTTTTATGCATTACTCTTACTGTTTAAAAATGCTGTACCTTGTTAAGTGAGGTGCAATTTAGCTTTAAACAGCACTAAGCCGTTATTACTGCTGAATTGCCTCTCTGACCCTGTAAAACAAATTTCACAAGTCTGGAGTGGCATTTCTTTCATTCCATGATTACAAATTCTATAACTGATTACAATAAAAATTGGATATTTTCAGAGATAGTAGGAACTGCTGAGCTGGAGAATCTGAGATAACAAGGTGTAGAGCTGGATGAACACAGCAGGCCAAGCAGCATCAGAGGAGCAGGAAAGCTGACGTTTCGGGTCTTTTT